AGCACTTAGACTTATACACCGCTTCACAGTGCTTTACAGCCCTCTCTAAGCAGCTTACAGAGTCAGCCTGTGGCCCCCGACAATCTGGGTCCTCATTTTACCAACCTCAGAAGGATGGAAGGCTGAGTCAATCTTGAGCTGAACAGGATCGAACTGCTGGCAGTCAGCCGTTAGTCTGCAATACTGCATTCTAACCACTATACCACCACAGCTCTTAAAAAGTATGTGCATCAAGATTATAGGCATCCATGGAGAAAAGAGAGAGGGAAATGATAAAACATGTGTTTTCACTACAACACAAATTCTGTCCCTCATGTATTTGCATGTGTTGTTGTAATGAAAACACAGAAAAACAGGCATTACTTTGTGAGGTTACATTTTGTCATCACTTCTGAGAGACAGAATATATTGAAATGACACTAAACAAGTCAACAACAGTCTTCTATTTTCACAATCTCTAATGTGGCTCATAAACTTCTTACTACATCTGCAATGAAAGCAGAAAGATTTTTTTCCAATCTTTATTCTTTCATAGCCTCAAGGAAAGATACAATAGCTGAAATAAATAGACTCAGACATGCAAAAGTTAATACAGATTTCAACAGGTCATTTGGATGATTTATTTCCTAGAACTTCCTCAAATCTTTTCCCTGTATTCAAAATTCATTAGTTTCTGGACATTTTATGCAAATATGAACAAGACATACCTTCTATGCCATCACCATTGAAATCCCCTACGGCAACTGAATAACCTGTCAAGCATGAAAATGAGAATTCAAGAATTAATATTTCAATATTTCAATAATGCATGGAGATACTCTTAATATGAGATGCACCCAAAAACATTTTTAGACATCTATTTTTAAATAAACCTGTTCATGGAGTTTCTGAATTCATTCTCCCCGTTGACTAATAGGGGGTGCTATTTCTCTTTCAAAATTGGAAAAAAAACTGAATACACAGTTGCAGAATTAGAATTCTCTATCCAATACAGCTTAAGTACAGACTGCATTCTTTAAATAATTACTTGAAGAAGGCAAGTGAAAACTCTCCAGTAAATATGTGCCAGTCATATTTTTTTTTAATTTGGCTATATTTAGGATGGTTCTTCTTTCAGAAACATAAAAAGCAAATATACTTTCACTGATCTCATTGGGAAGCTTCATCCCAGCGAAATTTAAAATATTTCCTGTTTCAGAGTCAAGTGCTCACCCAAATAACTGTCATCAAAAGTAGCACTAGCTGAACGTGTTGCTAACTGGTGATTGTATTTGGTTGTGTAGACTGTAGTGCTGTATTTTGACACAATCTCAGCCACTTGATCAGAGATTAGCTGACCTGGAGAAAAGCAAAAGGGAATATCTTGAAATAATACAGTTCTGAGCAGATATGTGTTGTCTTATTATAAAATGCAATTCTATAATATCAGCTTAGAAACTAATCCGATTCAGGCTTGTTACTAGGTAATCGTGAATAGGACTACAGAGGAAAGCCAAACTAAGTCTGGAAATAAAATAACAATATTTTGGTTCACTTCAGTAAAGAATTTAATCAAGCATATCTTTGGCCAGACAAAGGATAAAGATAGCATGATCCTATGTGACAATTACGTTATGATCTATAAGTCCTTAACAGAAGTTCTTAGATAGTTTAATTAGTATAGATTTAACAGAGTGACCTGTATCATTATTTAGGTACCTTGCTGAGTAGCTCAAAATTCAGCAAATGCACTTATATCTAATTCCTAAGCTGAAGATTCTGGATAAATGTACAACTGATAGCAATTAGCATGAAAAACCTACTCCGATTAATCTCCACAAGCGTATTCTGTGGTAGAAAAACAGCAATAAAGACAGATCTTATCCATTGCTGCTTTTGTACCCAGGATCCTAATTTACCAGAAGTGTCAGGCATCAAAGCCTAACATGCAGATGTGCATAACTGAATCTCTACAACTTCTCCTGCCCAGAAAAGTCATTTTCAAATTTTGAGCAGAGCAACAGCTTAGTTTAATAGTTAACTGTGGCAGAAAAAAAATATCTCTGGATTGAAAAAAACAGATATAACAATGTAATGGAAGTAAAGAGTTTGGTGCCTCCTTGTAACTATTTGAAGTCTGGTAGCCCAGAGAGTGTAGCCATATAATTTGATTTAAATGTACCGTATTTATCGGCGTATAACGCGCACAGGCGTATAACACGCACCTTCATTTTAAGAGGGAAATTTCAAGAAAAAAAAAGCGCCGGCTCGAGAGCGAAAGCAAAAGGGGAGGGGGAGTGGAGCTTCGTTCACACGCGGATCCCCATGCTCGTATTTATTTACCGTATTATGCCCCGGCTGGCGGCGGCGGCAGCAGAAACAGCAGCCTCCTTCCTCGGTTAGCTCCGATTCCCTCCCCCCGTGTCGCCTCTGAGCTGCAGGACTCCGCCGCTTGCTTTATAAATCCTTGGCTGCTGCTCCATCTTTTCTTTTCCCACCAA